CCCCCCCCCAGGGGGGATGGCCATGCTGCAATCCCTTCTCCTCCATTCTCCTCTCGGGATCTTGGGCACATATGCACACACGCGCCCGGCGTGAGTTTAAGGCACTGGGCCCAGGACTCGAACTGCAGTCGACTACATGGGAGTCCAGCGACATAGCCATTATGCTAACCGCTGGCCCCAAACAGTATTTTAAGGCTTTTGCAAAAGTCTCTGTTGAGTTTGAGTAAATATCCTTTGTGAATTTAGCAGAATGAAGAGAAACTCCATTCCCTTCTGGCTTATAAAGTGTGGCTAACTCTGAAACTCTATATTCAGAGGACTTTCTTTAAAGAAAAGAAATTTTTGCTTTTTTAAAAAAGAATTATTTGTTTTAATTTTTATTTGTTATTATTATTTTAAAAAATTGACTAGGGGTAAGAGGGAGTTAGATAGCAAGCCACCAGGTCTGGGACTCAAACCATGATTGGTCCTATAGGACTCCAGCACCTTAACCAGCATACCACCTACCAGGCCCAGAAACTATAGCTTTTAAACACACACGCATGAGTATTGTAAAAGGCTCTTAAGAACTCTGGTCATTTGGTTTGGTTGATCAGAGCCATTCAGTGGTCTTACAGGTCACTCATTCACTCCACAAATATTTGGTGAGGGTCGACTCTGTGTCATTGAGATCTGTGTCTGTCCTTTGGCTTAAGACTACTTCAGAGTGGTCCTGTAAGGCTGAGATTATTAGAGACAGATGGGGAAAACAAAAGGTTTGCATGTGCTCCTTTAATTCACTAAAATGTGTCGGGGGGTCCTTATATAGATCCTCTTATAAAGATCCTTCAATGTCTGGACACTCAGATATTTGTTGAATGAATGCTGCATTTCCTTCACCTTCAGGAGCCTTACATTCACTTCCAGTGCTTCTGTTTTTGTTTTCTCTGGCTACTGTCCTAGTCATTTTAGTTACCCCACTATGGCTGCACCACAGCGACTCAGTCCAGCCAGCCCCAACTGTCCTGACTTAACCAGTTCTTGGCCTCTGGTGGCCTTCCCCTATTTCAGGGCTGGGCGAAAAAAAAAAAAAAAATATATATATATATCTATCAATCAATATGGAAGTCTACACCTTTTTGCTACTGTAATAAGGCTGTTCTTCTAAAATTAACTAATTAATTATTTTTAATGTGCCTTGCTCAGACATATCAGAGCAAAACATTACAGGAGAGAGCTGGAGCACTGTCCTTCTTACTTTCTCCTTGCCTAATCCCCATCCATCGCTCTGCATGGGTCTCAACAAGGTCCTTGCCAGCTGAGCTGCCTGTCTTTAGGAAGACAGTGAGACAACGATACTGACTTTTCATTATCTCCCTGTTGCTATCATTCAGCCAGCACCGACGGAGCACCAACTTCTGACTCAGGGAACACGCCAGGTCCTGAGCCTACAAAGAGCATACGGCCCCCTATCCTCAGGAATTCCTGGTCTCCTAGTGGACACAGAAGTCAAAGTTCACAGGAAAGCACACGGAGTTGTGCCAACACTGAGGAAAGCGCGTTAACGCTGCCTCGGGGTAAAAAGAGGTCAGGGCCCTCCTCACGGAGGAGAACTGTGATTCATTCTACTGGTCGGACAGCGCAGATTACAGGCATTACATTAAGGTTCTTATTTTCTCCACTTGAAAATCTACTCAACAATGGTCTTCATTTACTGTCAAAGCTGGCTTCTGTGTGATAATGCCACTAATAAGATTATGCCAACCCCTCGTTACCTCTCACCTTACACTTCATATCTGAGGGTCACAGTTCTAAACACTGGCATGGGAGTTTTCCATGGAATCTGGTTTTCATGTTTGACTGTAATTGTAAAATTGAAGATTAAAAAACAAGTTAATAGTCATTTTATCGGAGTCGAGAAGTAGCTCAGTAAAGGAAGAAATAGGAAGCAATACGTTAGGCATGTGCCGACTCTCAGGGACCTGGGAGCAGCAATGCCAAAGCTGAAGGTAACTGATGACCTGTTTTCCTCAGGGGAAGACGTGTTTACCTACCACATGGAAGGTTCCTGGGGCCTTGAGGGGTTTGAAGCCATCCACGGGTATGCACTGATCAGCATGGCCATTGCAGAAGCAGCTGCCCTTGACAATGAAATCGTAGATGGCATAGTGTGTAAAATGTTGGGGCTTTGCATTCAGGTCATTTCTCTGGCAGGGACAAGTCTGTCGTTTCAGGAGCTGCACACGGAGATTGGTGATCTTCAGCTGCTCCTGAGCTTTGGCACTGTAAGGGTTCTCCGTGTCATATGGTGGTGACAAAGCTTTAAAAATAACCTGTAAAGAGAATGAAAATATGAGCACGTATAGGACTGAGTGCAAACCCGGAATTGTTTGCCCAATGTACTCGTGGTTTGATTTATGCCTTTGTTACCTGTGAGTGATAAGAGGTTTTCAGACCTTGATCACACCCAGGGAAGAGCTGCCCAGTTATTCTAAGGAACAGAGGTGCTGCCTGCTTGATTACAGAAGACACATACATTGAAAAACCAGGTGAACCTGGACTGTCATGATGAAGGCAGCCACGCAGAGCTCTTGAAGGAAGAGTATTCTGGACAGAAGGATCAGGAATTTAAAAGGCCTCGAAGCAGACTCAAGCTTGCCTCATTAAAGGAAGAACCACAAGGTCAGTATGGCTGGAGACCAACAAATAGTCTGGCTAGAGAGGAGGACAGAGGGCAGGTGCAAGTCAAGATCAAGAGAGCCCCATCTAAGCTTTAGAGTTTTTCTAACTGTAGTGGAAACTACCAGGACATGTAGGACATTAGTGATATGATCTGCTTTACATTTTCTAAGATAACTCTCTCTTCTGTGAGAACACTGGACTATTAAGGGCAAAAATAGAATCAGAAAGATCAGTTTGGAAGCAATGAAAAAAGCCCAAATCTAGAAACTTATATTACTAAATGATATTTAACCCTTTCAAATTGAAGTCACTATCATTTCACTGTTAATACACATTTTTTGGGGGGGGTTCTCTTTTTCTAGAACTGTCTTCCAAACCTGTGGCATATTTTTGGAATATCCTTATTGGTAGTAAATATACATCTCTTGAGGATGAATTTGATTTCTGAAATTAGTCAACAGTCACTTAAAACCAAGCGAAGTGAATACAGTGGCTGATCATGTTAGTTAACAGTGCTCTGGTTAAACGCAAGGAGCAATTAAGTCATAAGACTATTATTATTGTGTAGGTTATAGATGGGTTCTAAAGGCAACTTAAAACTTTAGTTCTGAAGAGGAAACCAGGGGAAGATTCAGAGGCATGGGCTTTGGCTATTGGGAAGGCTTTGGGCATTTGTGTGAGTGTATGCTTTATAGGGGGTAATAAAAGGGGCCCTGGGATGAGGTAGTGCAAAACTTGAATGGACCTGTCAGTTGAGAGGAGCAAGGCTGGTGGAAGAGGAAATCACTGCCAGTGAAAACCAAAGAATATAAAAAAGGAATTCTAAAACATATGTTCATATGAAACAGCATTGCAAGGAGGCCAATATTAGATTAGATTTTATTAGGAAGGTTTGTAAAAAAGACTAAAGCAGAACAAAAGTCATGAATTTAAGTCACAAATTTAAAGGAAGGGATTAAAAAATCCATAGACAAGTGGAATTAAAGTATGAGATTATTTTGGTGCAAAAAAAAAAGATGAGAAATCCATTCATAGTTCTGTTCATCATGTACCTTTTCTGTGAACTTTTGGAAGACCTCCTCATATTGTGGGAGGTACAAAGTTCCCCTGAACAATTCTTAAGTATTTCGTGGCTTTTGATCATGTGCTAAAGTTCTTATTGATGAAAAATAAAAAATATTTTGATAAGCAAGTACAGTAGTATGAAACTAATTATTAAAAAAATAGGCTTTGGAAAAATTCCCATTTAGGGAGGATGTATCTAAAAGTAACTTTCCAGAAAAAAAACCTTCCTTAAGGAATACTTTGGATAGAAAAATGTCATTTTAGAAATCGGTTTTACATCAATGGTATGAAAAGGTACAGTTGATTTAACTCCGTAGGGCTACATCTCCAGGTCTGCTGGGATAGAACTGTCTTCAATGAAATATAATTTTGGGGGAAAGGAGGCAACTCAATGCTCCCTTGGCCTCCCCCAGCCTGTTCTCCATCTAGTAGCTGGAGTAATTTTCCATAAACAAAAGCTGGATCATGTCACTCCCTTGTTTAAATCCACTTCCACCCAAAGAACTTCCTTTTCCTTCAGAATAAAATGCAAAGTCCCTATGAATGACCTTGCCTGATTTTTGCTCTTAGTATTTATTACCACCTGAAAAATTATATTTGTAGTGGTTTATTGATTTACTGTCTTTTCTGTCTAGAATGTAAAGTTCTTGTGGGCAGTTACTGAAGTGTCCCAGAACAGTACCTGGCACTATTCACTAAACTTTTGTCAAGTGAATGAATTAATTCTAACATTATTCTTGGCACTCCTGTAATGGGGGAGAATTTCACATAACTTTCTTATAGAGGACCCTAAATAGATTCACACATGAATCAGAAAGTCATCAGAAGGTGAGGGGTAAACCTTGTAGGATAATAATAACAAGTAGCTGAATAATTATTTCTAGTTATTTTTGAACTTACAAAATTTAGAAAAAGAGTCGCATCTTAAACTCTAACAATATTCTGCCTTATGTATCCTCATGTAAAATAGTGAAGAACAACATATTGGAGAATCAAATTTTCTAACTAATAATATGCCACATATTTGAGAGCCAATATAGAATTTTTCCTTTAACAGCCAAAATCAGAAACTGGTTTTATGTATTGAATCATTATACAATAGCAACACTGAATTCATTGAGAATGTTACATGTTATTTTCAATATAACATCCCAAATGCTGGCTTTTCTGTTAGATATTTATGAACAATTCTCGCTGAGAGGATTTCATCAAGCTTGTTAAAAATGGAATTAAAGTACAAGATTATTCTGGTGCAAAAAGTATTTGAAATCCACACATAATTTATTCATGACACACATTTTTCAGAAAATTATTGAAGCTCCCTCATAATCTAAGTGATGCGGGGGCAAATAGGTGGCAGGGTGGTTAAGGTGTTGGACTTCCACATGGCCTACTATGGTTCGAGTCCTGTACCTGTCAGCTTGCTTTTTCATTCCCTCTCTCTCTCTCATCTCTGGTGAGTGCATATATCTTAAATTAAATAATAATAATAAATTCGTTTTTTTAATAAAAGGGACCAGCAGTTGCTGTAATGTCTATGTTGCTGGACTCCCAGGTAGTCAACTGCTATTGGAATCCCGGACCCAGTGGCTTAAACTCATGCCGGGCGCCTGTGCGAGAGTGCCCAAGATCCCAAGAGGAGAATGAAGGAGAAGGGATTGAGGTGTGGCCATCCCCCCGGGGTGGGGGGTGATTTCTCACTTTCTGTCTCTATTTGTCTCTATTTCTCTCTATCTTTCTGGTGAACACACATTCCTTATAGCAAAAACCTCTCAAAAAAAAATCTTAAAAGATATTATATATAATATTAAATATTATATACAAGCATATATTACATATAATTTTAATATATAGCCATATATTAATATATAAACATGTAATATTAATATATTAATATAAAACATAATAGGTAATATTAGTATATAATTATATATTATAGATAATATAACATATATCTATAAATGATGTGGCTGCCTCCTATTTTATCAACCACAGTGATGAAGAGACAAGAAAAAAGACCCGGAGCTAACCACATAAGTGCTCCACTAAAAGGTGTCTGGTGTACTTCTCTATGTTGTCTGCACTCTCTCCGTTCCTGAATGTTGGTGGCAGCCATCTGTCCTCTCTGCTCTTGTTGCATATTGACCCTTGACATTCACCCTAGTTCATTCCCTCCCTGCCACGTGCCCCTTAGAACTGCTCAGCACATGCAGAGCTAGAGGAAGATCTGTCAAGTTTCGGAGGAACGCAGGAGCTCCTCTGCTTCCTGTACCCAGACTGTGGAAGCTGAATGGTGGCTCTGTGCTTGGCGTGCATGACACCACAGTTGGCACACTGATATCAGCAGGGAGGGGACATCATGACCCCTGAGGCTACATGCTGGAAAGGAGACAGCAGAGTGCCACAGACACAAAAGTGAACGGGAATTGAAACCATGAAATCTTTTTTCCAGAAAGGAGACGCCTTAATCTGATACCCTGGGAAATGGATCTACCCGGCATCAGGAAACAAAGAGTGAGCCAATCCAGATGCTGCAAACTTCTGGCAGGTCGCCCTTTGGGTTCCACCCAGTTTTTCTTCAAACTTCCCCAGAAGAAGCCAGTATGGCACTACCAAATTGAAGTAAGAAAATCAAGAAAGTTCTCCATATAATATCAGCCCTTTCTGTTCTTTTTTTGTTGTTGCCATTAGAAAAAGAATTTGTCTATGAGTCCATTGCTCTTCCTCTGTTATTAGTTCTTCTTTTTCTTTTCTTTCTTTTTTTTTTTTTTTTGTTTGGTCTAATGCTAGAGTGAGGGTGTGTGTGTTTGCCTGGGAATGAGAGAGAGGACACCTCAATGGGGACTCGTCATGATACAATCCTTTTTTCCTCCATTTCTCCATGCTTTCAGGATTCAGGGCATTCACACATGTATTGGTGTGTTTTCAAGTCAGTAGGGCCAGATACCAACTGTGGTTGGCCATGTGAGTTCTGGCTCCCTTTGCAAAGTACGATTAAGAATTAATTAGAATTAGTTAGAATTAATTAATTCATTTGCCAGCCCTGTGATTGCTTCTGAGTATGTATTTCCAACAAATAAAAAAGTCAGGGATCAAACTTTTTTGACTGGGATCAAGCATATCTAGATATTTCTGGCTTGTTAGTGCTATTGGTCAGGACTTCATGATCTCATTTTTTACGCCCGGCATGAGTTTTAAGCCACCGGGTCTGGGACACGAACTGCGGTCGACTACGTGGGAGTCCAGCGACATAGCCATTACGCTAACTGCTGGTTCCCATGATCTCATTTTTTAAATTAAGAAAATTACCATGTTTTAGTGGTTAATACTAAGCTCATTGCAGAAATGTAGAAGACAATAAGTATTTATCATATGATCTACCCCAAAGACTATCAGGAATACCACTTGATAATAGCTGTCCATCTAAACTTCTATATGTATACATACATATAAAATATAATATAAACAGCTTTGTGAGTATTCCTCCAAGTTGATAAAGATACCTGTACATCAGTGGTTCTCAAAGTGTGGCTCCCTGATCAACCGTATTGGTATCCCCCCGGGAACTTGCTAGAAATGCAAATTA